TCAGCAGATTCACACACATTCATAAAGACACAATAAACGCGTGTACATGTTAAGTATTATATGGAGAGAGGATGTTGAAATGACTGTACGATTTTCTGCAAGTGTCTGCTCAGCAGATTCACACACATTCATGAAGACACAATAAACGCGTGTACATGTTAAGTATTATATGGAGAGAGAATATTAACCATCCATCCGCACGCATCCCCGGTGCCAGCAAAGTCCGACGAAGCCATCGTTTCCAACCCCATGACTTCATCTTCTTCTTTTTTTTTCAACACAAAATCACTCGTGCCCCCATCTATATATTCTGGGGGGCTGCAGTCCGGTTGCTTATCACGGGCAAGCATTTAAATCAGATTGCAAATGAAAAAGCGCTTTCCTTGAGGGCACGAGACACCAGCGTTCAAGCTGTTCATCCAGGTGGAGAGGGGAGCAGCTGGGCCTTTGATCACTCATGGGTCTCTTGCTGGCAGACGCTCCGCTCCTCGTACCCAGTCGCAAAGGACGACCATGCGTGGCAATCGTCCCTCCATCCCATCATTCTCAATGTGCACTCCACTGAACTGCCCCTCCCTCGCTGGTCTGGTAGGCCCGTGAAAAAATTCAGGTGAGCTGCCTACTACGTGTGCTCAGCCCACGGTATTCTTTAGTAAAAAGCGAAAGAATAGTATGACTATTGAGCTGGGCAGCAGCTATTGAACTGCCACTATGATGCTGTGGCCACATCAATTTACGACCTGGTTATACATTCCCCACTTCCCAATCACCCTACCGTCTCCACCCGAATAGAACGCCCGGTCATTAAAGCTGTATTTGTCGCAATTTTCAGTCCAGATATAGGCATGATGACCCTCGTTACCAACGTTCACCCTTACAGCTTCACCCCGGTCTACGACCCTAGCGCGCCTCAAGCGTCCCCTGTTCTGCCACCATTTCGCCCACCCCCCTTCCCCGCGCTATCTGAGGGTGCACTGCAGCCTCTACATCATGGGTGCTTTACCTTGTGCCCGTGCAGCACAACCTCTGCATCGTGCGCGTTTTACCCGTGCATCATGTGCGGAATCAGTTGCATCATGTACAGAATACAGGTCAGCGTCCGTGAGCGTGTACGCTCAGGACACTGGCACAAATTGATACAATGTCATGCACATGGAATGTGTGAGCGCGATCGCGTGAGTATGCACGGTACACGTATGCGGTCCCAAATTGTCAGCTGTTGTCTTTTTTGAAACATTCTCTTCGACCTTGACGTGTGCATGTGTGGGTGTGGGTGTATGTGTCTGTGCGTGTATGTTGTCACATTCGCCGTGCACAGCTGTACAAAAACGTATGTGTAACGTGCGCGTAGTGTCTTCGTAGTTTATCTGTAGTGTGTGTGTGTGTAGTGCGTGTGTGCAGTGTGTGTACTGTGTGTACTGTGTGTGTAGTTGTTGTCATGTTCACCATGCACAAATTTACAAAAATATGTGTAGCGTGTGCATAGTGTCTGCGTAATTTGTGTAGTGTGTGTGTAGTGTGTGTAGTGTGTGTGTAGTGTGTGTAGTGTGTGTAGTGTGTGTAGTGTGTGTAGTGTGTGTGTAGTGTGTGTAGTGTGTGTAGTGTGTGTAGTGTGTGCGTAGTGTGTGTATAGTGTGTGTGTGTGTAGTATGTGTGTGTAGTGTGTGTGTGTAGTATGTGTGTAGTGCGTCTAATGTGTGTAGTGCGTCTAATGTGTGTAGTGCGTCTAATGTGTGCGTTGTGTGTGTCGTGTGTATATTTGTGCGTGTGTATCCGTGTGTGTGCATGTGTATCCGTGTGTGTGTCTATGTGTGTTTGTGTGTGTGTGTGTGTGTGTGTGTGTGTGTGTGTGTGTGTGTGTGTGTGTGTGTGTGTGATACATGAGGAAATATTCATGAAACAATGAAGCAACGAGCTTTTTAAAGAACGTATTTAAAATAGACTTCCAACAGATAAGTAAACTTGTCCACGACGCAGCGCGAGGGAAAACATAACTGAAGAAATTCCCACTGTGAACTAGACGAACGGAGGAGAGCGAAGGGGTACATTATACAAACCTACTTTTTTAAGTCTTTTATTTGACCCAAAAAAATCCAATCTGAAGCAGACGAGATGGAGAAGCGTGAGACCTCTAAAACACGAGCCTAAATTCTTTTCAAATATTAAAATGGCAAAAACAGGAAAAAAGAAGAGAAAAAAAACACAGTTCGACGGTTCTACTGTAATGATGTCGCGAGACGACTTCAAAAAAAAAAAAAAAGAAAGAAAGAATGATTAACGTTATATCGAAGTAAGAAAGGCAATCCCACAAACTCAGCATTTTACACCGTTCAACAGACTTCAAAAAATACAAAATTTATCAACCGTTGAAAACAGGAAAACCAAAAAAAAAAAAAAAGCAATAATGATAATGATGATAAATGGTACTATGAAAAGTTAAAGAAGTCAGTAATACTTATATGAACACTAAAATAATAATAGTAATAGGTACAGTGAAAGAAGCCAGTAATAGTTATATGAATCCTAAATATAATACGAATCCTCAATATCATATAATAATAAAACTACTGCAAAATCATCATCATCATCATCATCATCATGACACTGGTAATAATCACTAGCCAAAATAATTTTTTAAAAAAAATAACATTCACTACATTACATTAAATTATTAATAAGATAACAAATTACTAGCCAAATAATGTTTTTAAAAAAATAACATTCACTACATTACATTAAATTATTAATAAAATAACACCCACAATCACCACATGCTTTACGACCCACCGTACAAATTCGGTTGGGGTTGAGACCAGAAAGAAGGACAGAATTTGTTGAAATGCAGACCTGCTTTCGAATTCGATTGGAGAGAGAGAGAGAGAGAGAGAGAGAGAGAGGGGGAGAGAGAGAGAGAGAGAGAGAGAGAGAGAGAGAGAGAGAGAGAGAGAGAGAATTCCAACCTAGCTAAGTTGGTACACTCACGATCCTTTGAAATGCAGACCTGAGTTCGAATTCGATTGAAATCAGAAGAGAGAAAACAACTCGAAAAAAATGATATGGGACCGGTCAGGCCAAAGATGAGATCAACAGGCGGTCGCCCTGTTTGGTATATCTAAATCTATACATACAGATATAGAGACATATATTTATATAGATAGATATCTCTACATATATTATATATGCGTATATACAAATCGTCAAACAGAGTACCCGTAGGCAGAGAGGGAGGGAGAAGACAAGAGAAGAGGACAACAAACGAGGGGCTGTGACAAACTGTTTCGTCGGAGTTTCACCGACTCTCATCCGGAGGCTTTGGTGTCCTCTTCTCCCTCTCTACCGACGGTTTACGTATCTATACACATAGATATCTATATATATATATATATAGATATATAGATATAGATGCCTCCTGATGAGTCGTTGAAACTCCGACGAAATAGATCTGGCACAGCCCCTCGTTTGTTGTCCTCTTCTCCCTCTTTGCCTACGGTTTACCGGGCAGCTCTGTTTGACGATATATAGTAGAAAAGGACAATATATATAGATATAGTAAGAAAGGATATATATATATATATAATATATAATATATATGTATATATATACAGTAAAAAAGGACAGAAGAACCAGGAGAAGGGAGGTGTAGCGTAGCGTAGCGAAGGCAGAGGCGTCGCAGATGACAGATCAGATGCGTGAGGATCCTGTTTTACTTCAGAAGGGCTTACAAAAAAAGGTGATTCCGCTAATAATATAACAACATTCTGTGGCTTGGCCACTTCGCAAGAACTCATCGCTGTTTTCACCTTCAGATATTAAAAGAAAAAAGAAAAAAAGACAAGTTTTGGCTTTCGGCAGCTTACAACGCAACGACATTCTGTGGCGTGTACTCATCGCAAGTAATGCCGGTCCATTGCTGCCCGCATGGGTCATCTCCGTCCCAGTCCACCAACGACATCGGATTGCCAAACGCATCGCAAATCGCTCGAAGAGCGAGCACTGAAAAAAAGACCGACAGGCAAAAGACACAACGACAAGGAGAGGATGACCCCGAGAGAGAGAGAGAGAGAGAGAGAGAGAGAGAGAGAGAGAGAGAGAGAGACGCAGAGGTAGGGGGAGTGAGAAATGGGAACGGAGAGAGCGTTTCAACATCAAGTGGTCGAGAACAGGAGAGAAAAGCAGTAAGGGGGAGAGAGAAAGAGAGAGAGAGAGAGAGAGAGAGAGAGAGAGAGAGAGAGACCAAGAGGAGGTGGAATTGACAAGGAGAGCGTGAGCAGTGAACAGAGCCACACAGAGGTAGGGGGAGTGCGAATTGCGAATGGAGAGAGCGTAACATCATACAGTGACGGATAGGAGGAGAGAAAAACAGTGAGAGAGAGAGAGAGAGAGAGAGAGAGAGAGAGAGAGAGAGAGAGAGAGAGAGAGAGAGAGAGAGAGAGAGAGAGAGAGAGGAGAGGTGCAATTGACAAGGAGAGCGTGAGCAGCGAACAGAGCGTACGGGGAGTCAGCGGACATTTTCAATAGCGTTAACAAAATGCGTGATTACATTCATAGACAAGTTCTCATTCGCTAGACAATAGAAAGTTTTATAAACAATAGCACGAGATTTTGTTTTTTTCCCATGAATCATACAAATGTTGATAAATTTGTGTATCAATTGTTGTACCTTGCAATTCTCTAGAATCAAAGGCTCGAAGAGCGAGACTTGTGAGATTTTTCGGTTCATATTTCAATTTGGGAGCGTAACACCATACAGTGATGGAGAACAGGAGAGAAAAGCGGTAAGTGGGGGCAGAGAGAGAAAGACCAAGAGAGGGGAGAGGTGGAATTGGAACGAGGAATGAAGGAAGAAGCAGCCAATACAAGTCAACGGGTAGGCGATCGAGAGAGAATACGGTGGGGGGAAAGGGGATGGGAGAAAAAGCGACAAGGGTGGCGATGAGATGAGAATAATCATGAGTGAAATGAAGCCCCTTTTTTTAAGAAAAGATAGAATCCTTTTCTTTTAGCGAAAAGAAAGAATCTATGATTTATTTATTATTTTACGAAAAGAAATGTATCATTTATTAGATCCTTCTGTTCTTTTTTTTTTTTTTTTTTTAAAACACATCCCCTGTAGTCTAACTATTGTACTCCTTTATTGCCTTTCTTTGTCCAGTTTTGCGTACGTTTTTCGTTTTTTTTTTTTTTTTTTTTGGCGGGGGGGGGTTTCCGGTATTGCGCACTCTGAAAAGGTCACGCTGCAGTGAAAATTCGCGGGATTCACTAAATTCATTTTTTTGGGTGAGGACTTTTTTTTTTCTCTTTGGGAAATAGTTTGGGTTTAGGGTTTTAGGACTTTCGGTCATTTTTTTAATTATCTTTTCCTCCCCTAGGTACAATTCTTCGTTATGATTCTTACTCTTGTAAACTATATGATAACTGGTAGGGAGCTAAGTGACCGACAAAAAAAAATATTTGATTCAGTATACAGAAGGAGACGGAGCCCAAAAAAAAAAAAAAAAAAAAAGCAGACAACTGAAACTTTCCAAAAATCTCCCTTTTTTTACCCCCTCCCTCTTCCCCCCCCCCCCCCCCAGTCATTCATAGGTCGAGAGGTCGAGTCCCTTCGTCATTATTTTTCCGTTTTTCAGCGGACCCAACAATACTTACATACCGTCGAGTCTGTGTTTTTCGCTTTTTTTTTAACAATATGGAACGCTGGACCCGGTTCCCAGCACGTGCTGCTCCCCCACGAATAGATTGGTACTTCGTTCCCATTAAAATAAAAATATATATAAAAAAATAAAAATAAAAAAAAACAGACTCTGCTCATTTCATTGCAAAAAAAAAAACAAGGGAGGCCGGGCATTCCTCCAATGAACGACCCGGAATTCTGGGCCGGGGTCCCACTAGCAAAGAGGATAGGATCGAGCTCCTGAATCTGGATGCGTTTTAAGCAGAGATGCAGAAAAGCAGTTCAATTTAGATTTCCTGCACATCTCCGTAAACTCGTCCAGATTCAGGCATTCGATCCGATCCTCTTTAATAGTGGGACCACCCCCCTGTTGATTAACTTTATTTCCGGCGAAAAGTGGCATGGAACGTCCGACGAAAACTGGCTCGGAAAATTATCTGTTTGTTAACTTTACTAGTGGGCCGCAAAGAGGACTGGTTTAAGCGCCTGAATCTGGATGTGTTTTACGCAGAGGTGCAGAAGGCGGATCAATCGCGATCTCCTACACCTCTCCACAAACACGTCCACGTTCAGGCGTTAAACGCAATCCTCTTTGCTAGTGGGATAGGGAAGTTGTGGGTGCGCCGGGGAAAGTGACCAGGGGCACGGTTCCACTAGCGAAGGAGTAAGGTAAACCGTGTCCCACAAACACCTTTGGGACATCTGCGGGACATCGTCCGACCACTGATGCAGGAGAATCGGATGGCAGCAAAATTGCGAGGGATTTATATTCTGAAGTGGTGTTTTCTTTTTTTTTTTTGTGTGCTTTTTCTTTCCAATTCCCAAGATAGAGGCGGGAAAAGAAAATAGAAAGACTCATTTTAATTGGCAGCTCTTCAAAAGATTAAAAAAAATCAAGTACTAGAACGGCATAATTTTGACCCCCTTCTTTTTCCGGGTCAATTGTTAACCCCATCCAGTACTTCGATTCTCTCAAAATATACGAAATGCACGCTGCAGCATGGCAACCGTCAGAGGAGGGAGTCCCATCAGGCACACGAAGGGACCCCCTCGAGGTGGTATGCGAGACTGCAACAGTCACGTACCACTCTGTCCTGATTAGGTGTTGGCTGGGTGGGGAGCAGAGGGTGGAGACGGGAGGGTTAGTGGGACGGCTGCACTTTCAAAAGTCCGACTTCTTCCCATCTTGGGAAATGTACCGTCGCCATTTTTCTTTTTTTTAAGTCTTTAAAATTACTTTTCTTCCTTTTCTTACAGTGCCGCACAGGTCCAAATAGGCCATGACTCGTGTGCTAGTGGAACCGTGCCCCAGAGGAAAGGGGGTGGGGTCTTCTGAGGGGAGGGGCGACGAAGTTCCAAGAAAAAACAAAAAACAAAAAAACAAAAAATATAGTATGTCTTCGATGACTGGTGCAAAACCCGTTCCTGATGCGTCCTAATTCTTTTTCATTCGAAATATCTCTTAATTACCTCTACCACCTTATTTTCTTTTCTTTGTGCACAACACTGCCTTAACTAATCCGCAGGTTTGCCCGGCCTCGTTTCGATTTCATATTGGTAATATATAAGCCTTGGGCACTGGGCCCGAGTTATTAAAAAAATAATAATAATAAAAAAATCCGAAGGTTTGGGTAAGGCAAACAACGAGCGAGTGCCTGGTCGTTAATTCGAAGGTGAGAAAGTGTGAGAAAGTATGTGAGCGGTTTTCAAGGGTTAGAGGGCCCACAGACTCTGACGCTGCTTTTCTGGCCGTTGATATTCGTAATCGAAGGTCAGAACTATGAAGAATCGGGGGGAGGGGGGGGCATGCCCCACTTGTGGAGGTTAAGTTCTGGTTTAAAGTATGCAGGGCTCCCTGCCGTCCGATCAGAAAATTCCACGGCCACGGTGTGAGCACGTCGAAAAATACACGAAACATAAACTAAACCCTCGCTAATGGGACATGGCTCCGGGTCCCGACTGGGACGTCGCCCCAATGCCCGTCTTTTTCAAAAAGAGTAAATCCGTAAAGTAAAAATGTGGAGCACAAGCATGAGTATTTTCCGAGAAAAGTGCGAAATGTAAGACAGGGATGCGGTGGGAGGGAAGAGGAGCACGCACAAACAGGAGTTTGTCTCTCGTGTCTCACCACCGAGAAATGAACCCACCGCTTCTGAAATAGAACACGAGCAAATGGATTCCTTTCTCCAAAGGGGGGGGGCGGGGGGGGAGAGGACCAAAAAATAAGAGAAAAAAAATGAAAAAAAAAAAGGGGGGGGGGGGTGGAAGGACCTCAGGGCCCACCAAACCAGGCCGGTGCCGACAATACGTTTTCCTATAAAAAGGTACCGGCCCAATTTTGCATGGTGTATGGAGGCTGATACGAAATCCGATCGGTACCGGTACCCGCAAAAGATTCTGGGCCAGAGGCGTACGCGACACCCCACCCCGCATGCACCAAAGGCCTACGCCGAGGCGGCGGCGGTTCATTTCGTCCGTAGACGACGTCGCGTCGCCCAGCACGAACGCCAGCCCGCCGCCGCCTCCCAACACCCAGCGCCCGGCGCCGCGCTACTCCTGCCTTCCGCCGCCCTACGCCCACCGCCCTGCGCCCGCCGCCCTGCGCGCGACGACTGTCGACCGACGCCCTGCGCTTAAGCTCAGACGACGCTTGACGACCTGCCATCGCCGCAGTGATTTGAAGAGGACATTAGATTACAGTGTAATGCATAATCTCTCTCTCTCTCTCTCTCTCTCTCTCTCTCTCTCTCTCTCTCTCTCTCTCTCTCCCCTAA